TATAATAAATTTACAAGGTATGGAAAAATGACAATGAATTTTTATCACAACGAGCAATTTATTTTAAAAATATACAGCTACAACACGTTTTTTAAACAAGGGAGCGATGAAACTTTATCTTGAATTGCATTTGCAAGATTCGTCTCAGGATTTCAGTTACGAGCTTATTTACATGCAGTATGTTTGATTTTCACGATGCAAACGATCGACAATATTTTGAATAATTCAGATAAGGATAGCTTTATTTCTTTGTGGTGATATACATGAAGGGATTTATATTTAGATCTGTTGTTTACTTGTATGTTCGACAGCTATTTATACAAGATCGGCCAGGCGCTAACCAGAACGCTCATATCCCACTCCCCTTTGCGCGCCTAGAATGTGACGCACTACTTCATGTAAACCTTTCATATAGTGACTCGCATGAGATTTTTTTTATTAGCGCCTGGGGACGAGGCAGAACTACTACCAGCTATTAATCTAACCCCAATTCTATTCTATACTGATCTAGTGATCTGAATACATTTACAACTTACATCTCTTTTATATAACAACACACGGACCCCACGCATATGCATTTTAAGGTTTCCTTGCCTGGCTGCCAAAAGGGTGCGTTTCAGCATTATTTCATTACTTACATTACTCATGTTTCTTGCGCAAACAACTGAATTGCGTACACAACTTTACATTATCATAACTTCAATTATCTAATTTGCGCCGCTCTCGTGGTTCGTGAAGCATAATAAAGGGCGTAATATAAGGGCATAATGCCAGGAAAAAGGGCATATATAATTCCCGTGATCGCTTCGAAACCTGACCAATATTCCGGTAATGAGTCATTGCGTGTGATCACTGATCATGTTTCTATATGAACGATTTCGTGTGAGCCGCGAGGTAGCAAATTAGCAAATACGGTTAGACAAAATAGTCTATAATTTAATATATCGCTTTGTCGCCTATATTCTTAGTCTGTTTATAAGCCTATAAACACATCTCTTCAGTTTCTTGGCGGAAGTAACTATATTTTTTCGAATTTCGCGTTTTTTCCACCCACTTTCAAAATTTAGGGCGGGATCTGCGCCCCCTTTTCATTTTTGCGCCACCCAGGAATTGCCAGCTGGGGGGGCCCTGCCCCCCCCCCCCTCCCGGCCCCCCCTGCCAGCACGCCACTGCTAGTAGTTGATCTGGGGCCACATTGCTGGTCATCCAATGAATTGTTAATTCTTCATCTTTCAGTTGGACTATTTCATTTCTCACTTGAAATTTCTTTTTCTTTCTTTTTTTCTATTTTCCCATTTCTCACTTGGACTTGGTGCATAGAGTACCGCACTTTGTTTACACACGTCATATCTTTAAGGTAGCTCCCTAGGGTTTTTGTATCTGCGAAGCAGATATATATGCTATCGCAAACGTGCCGTGACCGTACCGTACCGTACCGTATCCCTAGCCATTCAGCGACGGGCTTATATAATTCAGCCAATTTATGCCAATTTAAGCCAATCAGCGATTCGTTTACATCAATTGTTTACATCGTGCCCGCATCTAACCAGCGAACGGGCATACTTTAGCCTCGTCAGGCCTCGTGTATAAATCGTGTTTTATATTCTTTCAAAAATATCTTGATATTTTTATCAATTTATCTTGAATTGGCTGGGATTTTTTTATTCCGAAGTTATTTATCAACATGGAATCTTATCCTCATCTGGTAAGTAGTCAAATACCACATATTATATATTTAAATACCAAATTTGTGCAAATATATGTCCCACATATTTTATAATACACGAGTTTGCCAGTTCGGCAAATATTTACTATACTATCTATAGTTAATATTGCCGTATCTTCGGCGTAGAGTTTACATGGAATGCACTCTGGAATTTTTTTATTAATATATTACACTGCATAAAATATTGGATATTTTCGAGGATATTTTAAGCCATTTATCAACATAGTTCACAAAAAGATTTATACAGTATTAAAAACAATCCTTCTGTGACTTCTGTAATATTTCAAACAATGAAAACATTCTCAGGAGATATTGAATTAAATCCTGGTCCTGTATTTCTGTATATTGACTCCATAACTCTGTTCAAAACAACAGTCCAACTATAAAGCTGTCATCAAATGTAGTGTTAGAGCAAAGGTTGAAGATGTTATCAGTTAAAATACTTATACTGTTATACATTTTGGTTTTACACATTAGAGTTAATTAAACAAAATTTTTATAAACACTTTCAAATAAAAGAATCCTCACCCTCCCAAACCTCATTACATTGTCATTTTGCTTTCTAACATAAATATTTTTCTTTAGAGATTAATACAAGAATGAAGAATAAATGTACTGGATATTGGCTGGATAATTTTGTCAGAACAACAAACTTGCAGGACTATCTTACCTAAATTCATTAGTATGGAAAATAATTTACTATGTAACAGCTACAATGAGTAATCATATATTATATGGTGGATTTGATCGATGGCACACAATGTACAAAACTAAACTTGTGATACCTTCTACTCAAACCGATTATCTCCCACATCACGATTGTTTTTGTGTGAATGTGCTGTACGTGTTAAACCGAACAGTGTGGTATATCATTAACTGTGCACAGAACTGGAATTTAATTATATACTTCACTCATGACCTTCAAATTATTCTCAATTATTCAGTGGTCTTCGACATGTTCACCAAATATTTTGTGTATGTTACTCAACAGTTAACATTGGCAAGTATAAACAACAAGTGACATAACTTTTGCTTCATATGATTACAATAAAGTTTTGAAAATTTGATGAGTATGGATTGAATTGACAGGTGACAGTTTACTAAATAGCCTGCTGTATAGACACTTTGAATATTAAGTTCTTTGTATGTTTGCATGGTGATAAAATATAATAGGTTTTGTTTGTGGAAACACCACGTAAATTTATTACTGCAAATAAAATAGAGATAGAAATAAAATATAAAAAATGTGATTAATTGCACTATTGTAATTAATGTTGATATTAATTTTTTAAATAAATTCTTGATCTGATTGTTTTCTTGACTATACTATGAGCTAGAACTCTGCCAAAATTCATCCAGGTGTGAACCAATCATTGTTTCATATATGTGCAGCCTGAAAAATTTTAGATCTAAATAATTTTCTATCTAAATAATAATTTAATAATAATAATAATAATTTTTCTATCTTTATTTTTATTTCTATCTCTATCTCTAATTTATTATTTATTACTTTGAATATTGTTTGCATGAAATTTTTATTTCCTGACTGCATAATTATCTGTTACAATCATAATCACATTATAAAGTTAGTTAAATTTTCTCGGTGCGGGGGAGGGGGGGGTAGCATTTGCCCTGCTGTACTCCCCGCTGTGTACAGCCCTGTTTTAAATCTTATCTGCCATTATAATAAGTGATGAAATATTTCAATTGTCCCATGTCATCTTCATTATTCAGTTTCTTTCAAGAAAATACAAAATATACTAAATGTGAATCAAGTTTTTTCGCAGATACATGTACGCGTCGCGTACCTATTTTTGTATCTGCGAAGCAGATATATATGCTATCGCAAACGTGCCGTGACCGTACCGTACCGTATCCCTAGCCATTCAGCGACGGGCTTATATAATTCAGCCAATTTATGCCAATTTAAGCCAATCAGCGATCGTTTACATCAATTGTTTAATATTTAAGCCAATCAGCGATTCGTTTACATCAATTGTTTACATCGTGCCCGCTGATCTAACCTGCGAACGGGCATACTTTAGCCTCGTCAGGCCTCGTGTATAAATCGTGTTTTATATTCTTTCAAAAATATCTTGATATTTTTATCAATTTATCTTGAATTGGCTGTCTTTTTTTTATTCCGAAGTTATTTATCAACATGGAATCTTATCCTCATCTGGTAAGTAGTCAAATACCACATATTATATATTTAAATGCCAAATTTGTGCAAATATATGTCCCACATATTTTATAATATATGAGTTCGCCAGTTCGGCAAATATTTACTATACTATCTATAGTTAAATATTGCCGTATCTTCGGCGTAGAGTTTACATGGAATGCACTCTGGAATTTTTTATTAATATATTACACTGTATAAAATATTGGATATTTTCGAGGATATTTTAAGCCATTTATCAACATAGTTCACAAAAAGATTTATACAGTATTAAAAACAATCCTTCTGTGACTTCTGTAATATTTTAAATATTTTAAACAGTGAAAACATAGCAGGCAATATTGCCAGTTAACAATATCAAAGGAACCTATTGGACAGTTCTCAGGAGATATTGAATTAAATCCTGGTCCTGTATTTCTGTATATTGACTCCATAACTTTGTTCAAAACAACAGTCCAACTATAAAGCTGTCATCAAATGTAGTGTTAGAGCAAAGGTTGAAGATGTTATCAGTTAAAATACTTATACATTTTGGTTTTACACATTAGAGTTAATTAAACAAAATTTTTACAAACATTTTCAAATAAAAGAATCCTCACCCTCCCAAGCCTCATTACATTGTCATTTTGCTTTCTAACATAAATATTTTTCTTTAGAGATTAATACAAGAATGAAGAATAAATGTATTGGATATTGGCTGGATAATTTTGTCGGAACAACCAACTTGCAAGACAATCTTACCTAAATTCATTAGTATGGAAAATAACTTAACAGCTATACAATGAGTAATCATATATTATATGGTGGATTTGATCAATGGCACACAATGTACAAAACTAAACTTGTGATACCTTCTACTCAAACCGATAATCTCCCACAACACGATTGTTTTTGTGTAAATGTGCTGTACGTGTTAAACCGAACAGTGTGGTATATCATTAAATGTGCACAGAACTGGAATTTAATTATATACTTCACTCATGACTTTCAAAACATTCTCAATTATTCAGTGGTCTTTGACATGTTCACCAAATATTTTGTGTATGTTACTCAACAGTTAACATTGGCAAGTGTAAACAACAAGTGACATAACTTGTGCTTCAGATATGATTACAATAAAGTTTTGAAAATTTGATGAGTATGGATTGAATTGACAGGTGACAGTTTACTAAATAGCCGGCTGTATAGACACTTTGAATATTGTTTGCATGAAATTTTTATTTTCTGACTGCATAATTATCTATTACAATCATAATCACATAAAGTTAGTTAAATTTTCTCGGTGCGGGGGTCCGGGTAGCACTTGCCCTGCTGCACTCCCTGCTGTGTACAGCCCTGTTTTAAATCTTATCTGCCATTATAATAAGTGATGAAATATT